CCAGCACACAGACCTCCAAACCATGAATGGATTAAGATGGTATCCAGGCTTTTCACATGGACGGTGAAATCCGGCTATCAAGTGCCTCCTCTTGCAGACGTTAATGCTTTGTCACTCAGCAGGTTCAAATCTGTCAGGTATGCTGTCTAACAGACAACCCAGTGAGGGTGTTTTTAGCTTGTCAGTCGTGTGTCATGGGATTGCATTGTGTCGCACAAATGCAGGGCACATGGAAAAGGATGCATCATCACTCCCCTGTGTGCCGTTCCCAGACAGCTCAGCACAGGCCATTCCCATTGCTAATCCTACCCTTTTGGAATCAGTTAACATAGGCCGGCTGCATACAGGCATGCGTTTAGCATATATCTTGTTGACTTCAGCAGCACACAGTCGGCAGGATGAATTAATGTTGAAACTGTGATGGCGAGAGAAGCCTGAGTCCTTCTGGCAAGCGTTCCTGCACTGGAACAGACAGGGGCAGTGTTCAGACCATCTGCGTTTTGGTGTGTTGGTTAATTGGATGTTTAAATGAAAATATGTTCATTCTTGGCACAGTTGAACGTCTGGTTTTATACTGAGACGGGTGAAAGTGACAAGCAGGTGAAATGCATGAAGTCCTCAAATCGGTGGCAGCTGTGATTCAGGAAGGCAGTAGTCCCTGACAATCCACTGTGAATTCACATTCAGCTCTGCCTCTGTTCTGGTATGAAATAGCCACTTTTCCCTCACCTTCATGTCATTCTAAAACTGTATGATTGGAACACTATGATTGGAAGATTTTTTTTTTCTCCATACACTGAAATTAAATTGGACCCTATTGACATTGTATGGTGAAAAAACAACTGATCCTCTTTTTTTGTTCCATGGAACACAGGTTTGGAATGACATGAGAATGAGTAAATAATGACATGTCATTTCTTGTGAAAAGAACAGCATTTTAGCCTTAACATTAGTACTTATTACTGAAATAATATACTTTAAATGCAATCTATACTTAAGTGCAAACTGATTGTAATGTTGTTAGACACCAAATTCCATGTCAATTGCAATTAAATTAATACGTATTATAATTTAAAATAATGCTAAATGTAATTAATTGAACCTTTAAAAAAAATAGTACTTATTACAGAAATAATATTCTTTAAATGTAATATACTTGTGCAAATTGATTTTAATGTTGTTAGACACCTAATTGCATGTTTATTGCAATTAAATGAAGATGTTTTATAATTTAATGTTATTATGATGCAATTAATTGTGCTTTTTGACCCACTTAAGTAGAACTTAAGTACATATTTATATATAATTTCATAATAGCTTATTTTAAAATATAATTAAAGTGCATCCCTGATTGTACTGAGAAGCATTTAGGGTAAACTAATATCTAATTTAATATAAATTGAAACTTGTATGTATTTAAATATATGGGAAATTACGCATTTGTTCTACAAAAGATTATTAAAACAATATTAAAATATAAAACTTTTAATTAGACATTATTACAAAGTGCAGTTTTTAAAAGTGTAAGTGTTTTTGCATAAGTGTGAAGAAACATAGTCATGAAAGTACCTTAAGTGGCCTTTTATTTAATGTTCATTGCCTCCAAATACATTTATTTATTTAGTTTAGTTTAGTTTTGTTTTGTTTTAAGATGTAAAGTACACAACAAGAGCATATCTTATTTTTCACAAGTGTATAGTGTCACCGCAAGGAATGACCAAATCAGTTTCCCAAATACTTCCTCTAATCGTCTGTTGTTCAAAACAGGTAGTCCTGCCCACTGTTTACATTTTTCCGGAAGTTAGCATATAAATGGCTTTACTTAAATGACTGTAAACTGGGTTTGAAGAAAAGTATTTTAACGCTGAATCACCTGCACACTTCACTTAAGTTTGGGCACCGCTGCGAGCTCCTTTTTCACTTGTGACTTCATTGTCTTGCTAAATGTTTGTAGCACTTGCGGTGTATATCAATGTTCTGGGGCAGTGCTGCGTGCCCTTTGAGAACTGTGGAAATAGAAAGGCCCCCAGTCAGCTTTCGGCCAGTGGACGTGCCCCGTCCCTGGAGGCATCATTAAGAAGAGTCACGTACAAAGCCATGTCATCAAACATATGTCAGGAGTTTGCTTGTGCGTGAGGAGCTACTAGTATCCAAGTAAACCCTTATCATTCTGTTTCATTTAAGCTATCTTCTGTTCTTACTTCCTAAAGGTACCTCATCCACACACACACACACACACACACACACACATAACTTAAATGATTTTAGCAAATGGCTGCAATATAACAAAGAGTGAAAAATTTAAGGGGGTCTGAATACTTTCCGTACCCACTGTATATATATATCAAGCCTGAATATATGATATATGATGTATTTTATAGGTGAGAATTATAGTCTCCAAAACCATCTAAGATAATAAAGGATAGCTGCAATACTGTTGTACAAAACCCTAAGACCTAAGTGCTAACAATGAGCATGAAAAAAAAATAGAGTTTGATTTCAGCAAATAAAGGGCACTTTGTGTTTGCTATACTTGTGTGGTGCATTTGAGCAAAAGAACAGTTGAGTTCTCAGTTATTCAGGCAATAGTACAATCCTTATTATAGAGAGTTAACTACAGCAGTAGCACTATTACAACATGAAAGGATCAGCGCGGTTTGTGAGTGCTCTTGTTCTACCTCATATTTCAAGTGAAATGAGAAAGCACCTCTCTACTCGTTTTTGATCTGTGCTGAATGGAGGGAACACGACCTGTTTACCTCTTTTTGCGAGGGAGAGGTAAAATGGCTGATGGGAATTAGGTATCCAAGCCTGCAAGGAGGCCCAGAAGGAAACATTAGCTCAAATTAAGAATATCAACTAGTTTTAATTAGGCAGAAAATAAATAGATAAAAGCGGGAAATGCCAGTCCCTCGAATGTAATTGGGTTTTATTGGTGTGTTATCAATGGCACCCTGGGAGCTATGTTTCAACAAACAGCATTAGGCTTTTATGGCTCGTACTGCATTAGTGTCTGTATTTCTCACTTCTGTACTGCTCGTAAAACTGTGAAAAACATAATCTCACACCACTGCAGTGACAAACTTCATGTTTCTTTTTCACTGTCTCAGCTTTCCTCAAGTCTTGTAGTAGTGCGATCAATATGACAGTTTTACACATCGGCTTGTTTTAATGTGCTTTAGTCTTGGTGTATTCTCAGTACAAGAACTACTAGAATAAAGTATAAATACCTTATACAGTATTATCTGAATAAGATTTAATTAATTTATTTGAGATTGTCTGATGTTTTGAAGCGTCTTCATTGCAAGTCTTTTTTTTTTTTCTACAACAGTAGTTGACATTCACCATGAATGTTAAGCTCCAAAAATGAGGTAGGCCATACTTGTGCCTTTTGAAGCCATCCATTTTAGAAACAGACTGAAATTCAATTCGTTATTCACTTATAATCTTCCCCTCCACTGAACTGTTAACTAGAGAACCGCTGTTACCGGATCATCGAGGCAGTGATTTTCTTGAACAAATTGTTCAGTCTGTTTTGTGATCCAAAACAACTAATTCTTGGGAAAAATAAAAAATAAAATAATAATAATAATAATAATGCTCACTGATCTGGTTATCATCAATAGGCTTAATTTTCTTAAAGAAAAAATTAGGAGCCAAGCACCAGAGGTGTGAAGGCACCTATTCTTCTTCTTCGCTCTTGAGTCTATGGCAGCTTGCAGGAAAGCTATGAAATTTGGCACACAGGTAGTGGACAGTCAAAATGTTTTCCGAAATTCTTGGGAAAAAAATAAAAATAAAAAAAAATAAATAATAGTAATGCTCACTGATCTGGTTATCATCAATAGGCTTAATTTTCTTAAAGAAAAAATTAGGAGCCAAGCACCAGAGGTGTGAAGGCACCTATTCTTCTTCTTCGCTCTTGAGTCTATGGCAGCTTGCAGGAAAGCTATGAAATTTGGCACACAGGTAGTGGACAGTCAAAATGTTTTTCGATAGACCAAATCGTTCTCGTATGGTACATCAGCTTATTCGACAAAGAGCATGCCAAAATGGATGTGAACTTATATTTCTACAACGCTTTAGTGTGTTCAGACCAAATTTGGTATGCTTTAGAACAACTATGACCTGAGGGTACATGAGCCGTTTCAGGCACAGCACCACCTACTGGTCAAGATATATTTAAAAAATTGACTTTTTTACTTATAACATCTGAACAGTCTAGCCTAAAATAAGACTGGACTCTTTAGCTGTGAAGCGGCATACACAATTTTCACATGTTGGCCATTTTGGGCATCGTACATTTTGAATTGTGTGATAAAATACTATATTTTATAAACACAATAATGTATTATGAAAAACCCTTTCTATTCTCTGGGTCCTACAGAATCCAGTGCATATGTTTTTCAACAGTCTGTTGGCCATTTCGATTTAGGTGCAAAACCTGTTTTTTTATTTTTATTTATTTTTTTATCTTGTTTTAGACCGTTTGTCCAATCTTCACCAAATTTCACACACATCATCATCAGACCTTGCTGGTAAAAAAAAAATAAAAAAAAATAGTAAAAGCTTTTAGATATCTCAAACTGTTGTTGTATAACTCATTGTCAAAGTTGATGGCACGATACCAAAGCGTATCTGAGGCTGTATATTTTTGCAGTTCCACCTATTGGTCAAAAGTGATAAGCAATTATGACACATAACAAGTGATCGTATTTATAGGTTTAAAACAATTTTGCTTAAAATCATCAGCAGACGTCTTTAATTTAGTTGGCATGATGCTCTCTGAAATGCTTGCTTAATTGCTCATGACTTGCTGCTTGCAGCTGTATTATGTCTTATTTCTTTTGATTTTGAGGTGAAATGTGACCCAGTAGGTCAAGCATATGATGCATTCTTGACAATATTGTGAGATTTCATCCATTTGACCAACCGAAATGAGCAGATGCTCAGCAGAACTAATTCTCAGCATCTTGTTTCCCCTTTCTTACCCTTTTCAGGGTCCCCTTACAGAGATAAGATCACCATCGCAATCCTGCAGCTACAGGAAGAAGGGAAGCTTCACATGATGAAGGAGAAGTGGTGGCGAGGAAACGGCTGTCCTGAGGAGGAGAATAAGGAGGCCAGTGCGCTGGGTGTCCAGAACATCGGCGGCATTTTCATAGTGTTGGCTGCGGGACTCGTCCTCTCTGTGTTTGTGGCAGTTGGGGAGTTTCTCTATAAGTCCAAACAAAACGCACAGCTGGAAAAGGTAAAGCAACATTTTCACATTTCTGGACTGCAATGAACATTTGCAATCTGTTAGGATATACTAAGAGTTTAGGGTTATTATGCAAGTCTCTTTAGAGAAAACAAATCACATATAATCACCAGAAAGGGGTCTACAATTCTGTGTTTCATCAGCGGGGGAATTGTGGGTAATATAAGCCAGCCAGTCAGATGAGTTCAACTGATGCCTCTGAGTATGAAAGAATCTGTTACAGATCAGTGCAAACAATATTAATTCTGTCTAAATGTGGCTTTAATGCTGTGGTACTGAAAGCAAATTTTGAGGTGAAATGTGACCCAGTAGGTCAAACATATGATGCATTCTTGACAATATTGTGAGATTTCATCCATTTGACCAACCGAAGTGAGCAGATGCTCAGCAGAACTAATTCTCAGCATCTTGTTTCCCCTTTCTTACCCTTTTCAGGGTCCCCTTACAGAGATAAGATCACCATCGCAATCCTGCAGCTACAGGAAGAAGGGAAGCTTCACATGATGAAGGAGAAGTGGTGGCGAGGAAACGGCTGTCCTGAGGAGGAGAATAAGGAGGCCAGTGCGCTGGGTGTCCAGAACATCGGCGGCATTTTCATAGTGTTGGCTGCGGGACTCGTCCTCTCTGTGTTTGTGGCAGTTGGGGAGTTTCTCTATAAGTCCAAACAAAACGCACAGCTGGAAAAGGTAAAGCAACATTTTCACATTTCTGGACTGCAATTAACATTTGCAATCTGTTAGGATATACTAAGAGTTTAGGGTTATTATGCAAGTCTCTTTAGAGAAAACAAATCACATATAATCACCAGAAAGGGGTCTACAATTCTGTGTTTCATCAGCGGGGGAATTGTGGGTAATATAAGCCAGCCAGTCAGATGAGTTCAACTGATGCCTCTGAGTATGAACGAATCTGTTACAGATCAGTGCAAACAATATTAATTCTGTCTAAATGTGGCTTTAATGCTGTGGTACTGAAAGCAAAGCGTGAAGTATATTTCACTGGTAATATTTTACAGACAGTGCCTGTGTCTGGAGAGCAAACAGTCCTTCTTGATGTAAGTCTCTGAAGACAGAAGGGCTCGGGCTTTACTTGCTCAAAAGGCTGCCATTGTGTCAACAGATGTGTTGTTCTTTCCCCCTATCTACTTCACTCGTATACTTGATCTGCTGAAACAGTAAATGCTTGAAGTGTACAGTCAATAATGAGGCAGACAATAATTCTCCAAAAAATAAAAGTAATAATTAAAAAAAACCCTTCGAAATGAATGAACTCCAGTTCTCTCACATCACAAATATGATGTTTAAGCACATCTTAAAGAATTTACATCTTGCAAATTCTACTCATGAGCTGTTGTTTTACTCACTAGATTAAAGGACAGGTTTGCTTGGTAGTCTTTTATTAATTTACTTTGTTCTACTATTTTTAGCATTCATTTTCATTTGATGATGCAGTTACTATGTAAATCTGATCTTCAAGGGTGTTTTCTCTGGAATTCTCTTTAAAATAAACAAATGTCGCTTGAGTGGATGAGCCAAGCAGGCTACGCAGTACATGTGCATTCACACTGTCCTATTAGAATGTTAATAATGAGTTTTAATACATTTGTCATAATTTACTTCTCCACTGAGCCTTCATTTTTTGCATTTTTTGGAACTAAAACAAGGCATTTAATTGTCCTTGTTTATTTTTGAATAGATTTTTGCAGCCATTAAAAAAAAATAGAATGGCACTTGTTCTGTAATCACCACAAAAATAGAATAATCATTTCATTTAATCCCATTTGCATTTCAGCACTAAATTTAAATGGGAGGCCATAATGGCCAAACTATTCATAACTTGCAAATGTCTGAGTAAAATGAACGCGTCGTGCTGTGTGTTCACATTACACATGCTAAGCAAACGGAGATGGTCTAAGTTTGGTTATCTTTAAAGAGGTCTTTGTTTGAAGCGTTCACATATATACGTTCAAAATTTTCACTCTAAATATGGATGTTTTTGTTTAACTACAATGACAGGGTCAACCTGCCAGCTTAAGTATTGATAGTTTCCCCAGAAAGCACAGCTCCATTTATTCACTCTCAGTGGAAGAAGTGTATTTTATACTCATCTCGGATTCATTGTATCGATCTCTCTAAGTGCTTTTGTTTGTTTGCTGTAAGTCATCGTATTGACATTCACGAATATTCTGGCAAGGCGTTATTTTGCTGCCTGATCCTTGTTTAATGATTACATTCACATGATAAACCTACTGGCCAATGATATTGAGCATCACTCTAGAGCAGGGTTCCTCAATTAGTTTTCGCCGAAGGCCGAAATCTGCCAACAATTCCAAGCCAAGGGCCACTGACCTATATGTATATATACGTATATATATATATATATATATACAGTGGGTACGGAAAGTATTCAGACCCCCTTAAATTTTTCACTCTTTGTTATATTGCAGCCATTTGCTAACATCATTTAAGTTAATTTTTTTTCCTCATTAATGTACACACAGCACCCCATATTGACAGAAAAACACAGAATTGTTGACATCTTTGCAGATTTATTAAAAAAGAAAAACTGAAAAATGCTCAGTATTTAGTAGAAGCACCCTTTTGATCTAATACAGCCATTCTCTCCACTTTCCCTAATTGCAGATTCAATTATTAGATTTGTCAGTATTCATATTTTTATACTTAGATTTTTTTGGGGGGATCAAACTGTGTCCCAACCAGACACGACGCGATACAAAGTATCTTTTCCATGTAGTTTTTGTTCTAACCACCCGCAACAGCGACACGTGACAATAAGCGGCATGGGATTCTATTTTAGGAACGGTTTTTATTTTCTGCGATGTTGAACAACGTACAAAATATGACAGCGATAATCTCAGGTAATGATTATGTGTTAAATGTTAAAAATGTCTAATGTGAGTTTGAATATTATTTTGCGTTATCTTTATAGCCATAGTGAAAGCAACAATAGATATTTTACCTCAGATCTTGAAAATAAACTAAAGCAAACTTTTACGTTAAAACTGTGAACTCACTGCGAACCAACACGTGTATTCCATAACAAAGATGATATCAGTCACTCACTCACTCACTCACTAACTCACTCAAAACAGTTCAGTCCATTAACATTTGAATCATCTATTTTCCGTGTCCACTTTTCTTTTCTACACACTCGCCATGTTTTTGCTGTCACATCGTATCTACACTGGACGCGACAAAGCATTGCAAATCATCTGAACGTTGTGTCAGTACGTTATAAATAGAACGGGTCAGCAGTTTACTATCGGGGATTTGTCGTGTCGCGCCGCATCCAAGACAGCATCACTGATTATAACGAGTTCTATTGTATTTTATTGCGCCGCTCGCGTCCGGTGTAGACACGATAATGTAGCTTTCTGATGCTGCGTTTGAATTTTCATGCCACATTATTTGAAATTAGCGCGGGCTGGATGTGGCCCGCGGGCCGCCTATTGAGGAACCCTGCTCTAGAGCCTATATATATATATACATATATATACAAGAAAAAGACCTATAGTTCATTACATGTCTAACAAATTTGTTAACTATTAAGTAAAGGTTGAAAATGGCTTTGACTAAATTTATTTTTTAAGAACACGTAATCATAACTATAGAGGCTTTATGAAGCATATGGATTCAAACAGAGTGCTGAGGGTTCTTGATCTGAATGGAAGTGTCAAATTCCAGATGAGTGATTTTGCTAGTGTTTTAATTCAATACAAAGCAATGCAATAGAAAACACACATTTGAGTCAGGTATCAAATCTTCCAACTGAAACCGATAGAGAGGCAATTAAAGTATTTTTGTACAAGACTTGAGCTGCTGTCCTTTGTTCAGCATTTTCTTACACTATTCTGCAGAAGAAGAAAAAACATCATATGGAAATGCCTTTTGCTCCTCAGCAGCACATTCCCCCAGAAATTTGCATTTTATAATTGCCTCTATTTTGTAAGATTAGGAAAGAGCCAACAGTCTGACCAACAATCTTATTGCTTTAGATACAAATGTAGAAATGGTTCTAACATAATATGATGTAGATTTCCTGCTGTTTTCCTACCACCAGAAAAGAAACATATTTATTTAGACCTTGTTAAAATCATTTGCATTGTTAATAAAACTTAACAGAATGGTATATAATTTTGGCAAATACATCAAGTATTTCATGAGAACTGCAACATATTTTGTAGCATTGTCCATGGTTTCTTTGTGTATTTTACAAATATTTGTTTAGTGCATCTTTATATAGATAGTGTATATGTTCAAGGTCACACATGCACAAAGGCACATATAAATTAATGTTTAAATAAAAGGGTTACTGTAATGTTTCTGTTTCTTGTTTTCCTTTTTTGCACATTTTACATGAATATTCTTCCCCAATTTCTTCCACCACCTTCCAAGAGTAATCATTGCTCCTGAAAGTCCCCACTGTCCATACATACATATGTGTTTTTGTTAATAGATTTCCATACAATTCTGATCATGCTGTTGGATCATATAAAAATACCAAAAAATTATTAATTAATTAATAAAAAATAATAAAAATATACTGTTTAAGGGTTACTCTTTCATAGCCTGGTGCCACTCATAGTTATACTTCATTTCATAAATATTTATCTTAAAATACCTAATAATAGAACAAATAAAACTATTATTTGTATTTGTAATTTTGGTAACACTTTGCTTAAAGCCTTTTGTATAATGCATTATAAAGGTATTCATAATATACAGAGTAATGCTTATAATTAATTATTCTAATATATATATATAATTTTTTTTTCATTAATAGTTGTAACCAAAGTTAATGCATTAAAACACATGACAAATAAGCCTACACATATTATTATGCATTTTAACTTT